GCCAAGTAAGGAAGTCAAGATAGTCAAGTGGACAAGAGGACCCTCTCAGATGTGGTCTTGCTCGAGCTATGCAGATGCCTCTCAGGGAGACGCGAGGACCCGTCTATTATAACGACCAAGCCCACATCGGGGGGTGGGGTGGCAGACTTTCATCTCTCAGCCCTTTTCAACCATTGATCTACTAAACTGGAAACGCACTGAACCCACCACCTTGCTCCCGGCAGCTAGAGCCCTGTCAAGTATGACTGTATACAGGTGTTGGACTCAAGCAGACCTGACCTCCGGGACCAGCCTTGGGCATCGGTAGACTGGGAGCTATATGCGGACAGGAGCAGCTTCATCAACCCACAAGGACAGAGACGTGCAGGATATGTGGTGATAACCCTGGACACTGCTGTTAAGCTGAGCTCATTGCTTTAATTTGGGCCTTAGAACTCAGTGAAGGTAAGACTAAATATTTACACTGACTGTCGGTATGCCTGTTTAACCCTCCAAGTGCTTGGAGAATTATATGTATATATAAAGGGCCTGTTAAACTCAGGAAAAAGGGGAAAAAAGACCCAGAGAATGCAACTCTGACTCGGTGTTTGCAGCGGTACCAAGAGGCACTTCTGCAGAGGCTAAGAGTTGGTAGAAAAAAAGCAATTAATATAAAAAAGATTTCAGAAGTGCTTCAAGGAGCTGACAAGAACCTAAGTCAGTTTTATAAGAGACTCTGTAAAGCATTCTGGCTTTATAACCCATTTAACCCCGAGGCTGGTGGCTCACGCCTATAATCCCAGCATTTTGGGAGGCCGAGGCAGGCAGATCACAAGGTCAGGAGATTGAGACCATCCTGGCTAACACGGTGAAACCCCGTCTCCACTAACAAAACACACAAAAATTAGCCGGGCGTGGTGGCAGGTGCCTGTAGTTCTAGCTACTCGGGAGGCTGAGGCAGGAGAATGGCATGAACCTGGGAGGTGGAGCTGGCAGTGAGCCGAGATTGTGCCACTGCACTCCAGCTTGGGCAACAGAGGGAGACTCTGTCTCAAAATAAAATAAAATAAAATAAAATAAAATAAAATCAGCATATAGTGAATACTTCATTTGCAAAGAAAGCCCAAGGTAACATCAAGCAGAAGCTGCAGGCATGAATATCACCCAGTCTATAAAACTGGCCACCAAGGTGTATATTAACTGTGACCAAGGAACAAAACAGGAAAGAGCAAAAGCAACAAGCGTGGCAGGTAGGAACGCCAAAGGTTAAATCCCTCTCCCCAGCCCAGCGCTATCTAGAAAAAAAGAGGAGGCTAGAGACCGGTGTCAAGAGAAGAGCAAAACAAAAAGAAAGACTAAAAGTAAGTGTAAAAAAGAGAATCAGAAGAAAACAGGAGAGACAGACAGCAGTGCCCATGCCATTGCGCGGCCCTGCCTGTTGGCCATAGGAACAGGAGAACTTAGGAAGGAAAAAGAAAAATAAATTAAAGACTTCAGAAAAAAAGTCAATCTGTTAGCAACAGCTCTTATAAAAAGAGAGATTAGCAATGTGAGAGGATGTGGACGCAGATGTAGACGTGGAAGAAGTCAAGTTAGGCAAGGATTCAAGAGCCAGACAAGGCTAGAGAGAGAATAATGTGTGAGATGCAAAAAGAAGGGACACTAGAAGGGTGAGTGTTCAGAAGGCAATAAAGGAAAGAGCCAAGGCTGCAAGACAAAGAGGCCAAGGACTGCTGTACCTTGGAGGAACCAAATACTGATCTGATCAGGCTGGCAGGAGCTAAAGAATGTAAAGACTAGGGCAGACTAGGCACCTTCTCATTAGGCTCCCAGGAGGCCCTGGTCACATTAGAAGTTAAAAGCAGCAGGATTCTGCCACATCTGGATTCCAATTTCTCACTGATGGCTAAGCCACTAGATAGAGTTACAAAGGGAGGGAAGAAAAAGAACCCCTCCTCTAAGAAACTTAAACAGGAGAAAGAGCCATTCCTTGTGAAAACTTGCTTACAGACTTCACAGAACTGCCCCATGCTGCAGGCTATTGCTACAACAGGGTAAGTTAAAGTTTTCCCCACCAGGACAGAAAAAGTACAAGAAGTGACTAAAGTACTATTAAAAGACATTATCCCCAGGTTTAGACTGCCTCTAACTTTAAAGTCAGACAATAGGCCAGCCTTTGTACCAGAAATACTGCAAGATTTAACAAGACTGTTAAAAATAAAATGGAAGTTACATACAGCCTATTGGAAGCAAAGTTCACGAAAATGTGGAACACACGAACTAGACGCTCGAGCAGCTACTGAAAAAATATTGCCAGGAAATTCATTTAAGATAAAATCAGGATTTTGCCTATGATCCTCCTCCGAGTCAGATGCACCCCCACCAAACAAACTAGGTATTTGCTCTATAAGATTTTTTTCGGTCGGCCACCCCCACATCATAGGTCAAATTAAAGGTGACCTCCAAGAACTAAAGGAATTAAACTTAAGAAAGCAAATGCAGGCCAGGCGCGGTGGCTCAAGCCTGTAATCCCAGCACTTTGGGAGGCCGAGACGGGTGGATCACAAGGTCAGGAGATCGAGACCATCCCTACTAAAAAATACAAAAAACTAGCCGGGAGAGGTGGCGGGCGCCTGTAGTCCCAGCTACTCGGGAGGCTGAGGCAGGAGAATGGCATAAACCCGGGAGGCGGAGCTTGCAGTGAGCTGAGATCCAGCCACTGCATTCCAGCCTGGGCAACACAGCGAGACTCCGTCTCAAAAAAAAAAAAAAAAAAAAAGCAAGCAAATGCAGACTTTAGAAATAGCCATTCAAAGTGTTTATAATTAAATACATAAAAATGCCTATAAGCCTGACACCCCTTTAAATCTAATGACTCTGTTTAAGTTAGAGAGTAAAATCTAATTTTTCTAGGACCCATATAGGATGGGCCCTATACTGTAATCTTGTCCACTCCCACTGCTGTTAAAGTTGCAGGTGTTGTGTCTTAGATCCATCACAGTCAGTTAACACTGGCAGTTTAGGACAAGTAGACCAGCCAGCAGGATGCAGATCATCCAACCTGGCTGATCCTGAGACGAGACCAAGCTGCTGCTGGGATGACAGCCCTGCTCTGATCACTCCGGAGGCTGACCAGTCTACACACGGCTGAAGCTTGAGGAAACAACAAGCCTAGCTCTAGTCACACACCAGCAGCTGACTAGTCTGTGCTCGGCCAAAGCTTGAGGACTCATCAAGCAAGTAACTGTAGTTAAAAATCTTAAGACTAATAGTTTTCCTGTAATACTGTTTTCCTATTGTTCTGTCACTGTATTCAACCTTTTTCCCAGGTAAGGACCTCTTTTGTCCTTGCTGGATATAAATATGCTGTACATCGTTTTGTTGTTGTTACCCCCCATAACCATGCTACAAGAAACACCTATATAAGGTGTCCCCACTGTACACATACTAGTCAGGAAACCCAGACCCGTCCAGCCCAGCAACAATTCCAAGTCTTTAAATTAGTCTTTAAACATATAAACCAGAAGTTACCAGAGCCTCCTCCTTTAGCAAAAAAAAATAATAATAATAAAAAATAAATAAATAAAACCTATTTGCTCAGCTGGCTGAAAACATTGCCGGCAGCCTAGACGTTTCTTCATGTTATGTTCATAAAAAGGCTACCATGAGAGACCAATGGCCTTGAGAAGCAAAAGAGTTAATGCCTCAAGATAACTTTAACTCTTTCCCTAAGCAGATGCCAAGCATCTGGTTCTTAAAAACTTCTATTATTAAGAAATATTGTGTTGCTCGCTAGGGAAAAAGCTTTTAAGACCCAGTAAAAGAAGTAACCTGCTTAGGAAATGACAAAGTTGGCACATGTGCCTGTACAGGTTTAACACAGGTTTGATCCTAGGTCTTTATTTAGAAAATAGTTTCCAGCTATAAGAGAATTTAAAACCCTCACTGTAAGTGTATTACATAAAACACTATCACTCTGTCTCCCAAAGAGACTCAGAAAGTAAAAATAAAAGTGAGAACTCCCACTAATTAGTGAAATTCTCAAAGAGGGGGGATAAGAAAGGAGACCACTACTACTCCTGCTGCCCTCTCCCCCCGCACCTTGCCTAGTTCACAAGACAGGAGGAAAGAAAGCAAAAAGTTAGCAAGAAGCAAAAAAAGTAAGATAAATAGCCAGACAACCTTGGCACCACCACCTGGCCCTAGGAGTTAAAAATAATAATAATAATAACATCAACTCCTGACCTAAACTACTTGTGTTACCTGTAAATTCCAGACACTGTATGAAAAAGCACTGCAAAACTTTCTGTTGTTAGCTGATGCATGTAGACCCCAGTCATGTTTCCCACGCTTGCTTGATTTATCACGACTCTTTCACGTGGACCCCTTAAAGTTGTAAGCCTTTTAAAAGGCCAAGAATTTCTTTTTGGGGGAGCTTGGCTCTTAAGTCGCAAGTCCGCCGACGCTCCCGGAATAAACCTCTTCCTTCTTTAATCTGGTGTCTAAGGAGTTTTGTCTGCGCTTCTCCTGCTACAGGAGGTGACAGATGACCTTCATCCCTCATAGGACAACGTTACATCATTCTTATGAAACAGCCATGGCTGCGCTCAGATTTAGGAAGGCACTGACTGTAACGCTGGCACTAAGAGCAAACCAGAACCCAAGTGGAGAAAAGTGAGCTTTCATAAGAGGACTCATCTTCAACGCTCACAAACTTAGGCTCCCTGACTTTTATCGATAATCAGTACTGAGAACAATGCGTTCCAGACCCGCTGGCTGGCTGATGTTTGATTCTGTAACTATACCACTTCCAGAATTCTCTCAAAACTCAGCTTAGATCATGTTACTATCAGGCAGCAATGCCCCTTGGATGGCTCCACAGCGAATAAAACAAAGGTCAAATTCCTCATCCACACATTCCACAGTCCACAGGAAAGGAGCTCCAGCCGTGCCATTCTCATTTCAGGTCCCAGCACCCCGCCTCCATGACGTCAACGGGCCGCGCCACCGGGCTGCGTCATCTCGGCGCGCAGCTTCCAGGGCTCTACACCGGCCGGCTGCCATGGCGGAGGTGGGCCGAGCAGGCATCCGCGACCCAGGCGCGGTGCTCCCACGGGGCTTCTGGGCTGCGGTGGAGGTGTGGCTGGAGAGGCCGCAGGTGGCCAACAAACGGCTTTGCGGCGCCCGCCTGGAGGCCCGCTGGAGCGCTGCCCTGCCCTGCGCCGAGGCCCTCGGCCCAGGGACGAGCGCAGGCTCGGAGCAGAAGGAGCGGGGTCCGGTTCCCGGCCAGGGTTCGCCCGGAGGGGGCACGGGTCCCAGGCTGCGATCAGAACCCAAGCAGGGCATGGCATGTTGCGAACTTGAGGAGGCCCAGGGCCAGTGCCAGCAAGAGGAGGCACAGAGGGAAGCCGCCTCGGCGGCCCTGAGGGACTCCGGGCACCCCGGTCATGCTGAAGGAGACGAGGGCGACTTCCCCGCCGCAGATCTGGATTCGCTCTGGGACGATTTCTCCCGAAGTCTCGCCCGTGGCAATTCGGAGATGCTGGCCTTCCTCACCTGCTCCGGGGCGGGATCGCAGCCAGAGGCACAGCGTGAGCTCGACGTGGTTCTCAGAACCGTCATCCCGAAAACTAGCCCACATTGCCCCCTTACAGCTCCCAGGAGGGAAATAGTCGTGCAAGGTAAGAGTGTTTTGATAGTAGACGGATACGATTAGATAAAAAAAGCATTCACAGAACTTCAGGTCAATGGAAAGGTCCTAAGGGTACTTGTTATGCCAGTTGTTCTGCGATGTCCTAGGGAGTTTGTTAGGTGTTTGATAGTTTTTTGAGTGCGCGCATAGAAATGTGTGTCCTTAGTTCAGAAGATGGGATAATTGGTTGGGTTGGTGTCTGGAAGGCTTTAAAGAGACAGTGAAGGACTAACTGGATATTGCGTGATAACTAGGAGTTTAGCAGGTAAAGCTGTAGGTGTAAAAGTGTTGGGGACCAGCCTCAACACCATCTGCAGGGTACCCAAAGTCCGGTGGCGACGAAGGAATGAGACGAGACAGGTTAAGAGTGCACAAAGAGTGGGGGCCAGGGGGCCAATTGCAAAATGGAGGCTGCAAAAGACCCAAAGTTCTGGTCTCCACACTATTTATTGAGTACAATCACTTAGATCTAAGAAGCGGACGTTCAGGGCGAAACGGTGAAAGGGAGGCAGTGCGTCATAGTAGTGGCAATTTAAATGAATCTTCTTTGTGCTCATACAGCATATCTTTAACTTATCGGAGAGTAACTAGTGGGAGCGGGGTTAACTAGGAGCCTGCATGTCTGGCCGCATTTCAGTGCTTCAAAGGAGTGTCTTTCTCCTTGAACACAGCGTTTGTAGATAAGACGGTAGGTCTCGCTCAGAGCATGGGAGCATCGTGGCAATCAGAAGGCTTTCCTCCTCAGAGGCCTCTTGTGGCTTTCCACAACTTATTGTCTCATATTTTTATGGCCAATTATACAGGCACCCCAAAAGCCTTTTCCCCAACATAAAGGGAGCTATTTATGCTGAGACAAGAAACTGAGAAAGAGCATAATTACTGGATGGATGGGAACCTACTAGTCCTCAGCGTTTGTTAAATCTCTCGCATTTGTTTTTACTGCCCGTGACCTTGACAGTTAGCCTCAGCCACTCTTACCTCAAACTTTATTCAGCAGTGCGTGTTTCCTATTGCCACTGTAACAAATTACTGCAAATTTATTGGTCAGTACAAAAAATTGATTGTTTCAGTTCTGTAGGTCAGGAATCCCTGTTGGCTCTGCTGCTTTCTCCGCTCCGGGTCTCTCACACAAGGCCAAAATCAAACAGCCTTCCGGCTGGGCTCTTATTTGGAGGTTCTGGGAAGGAATCTGTGGCCAGGCTGGTCTTGAACTCCTCACCTCACATGATCCGCCCGTCTTGGCCTCCCAAAGTGGGGTTACAGGCGTGAACCACTGCACCCGGCCATGATTGTACATTTTTAAATAACGAAAAGAGTGTAATAGGATTGTTTGTAACACAAAGGATAAATGTTTGAGGGGATGGAGGCCCTATTCTCCATGATGTGATTAGTTCACATTGCAGGCCTGGATCAAAACATCTCATGTACCCCATAAATATATGTATCTGCTACGTACCCACAAAAGTGAAAAATTTAAACATTTAAAAAATCGAAATTTGTCATTGTGTAGTGACAACAGTGACAGCAGATTTGGGGTTGCCACACTGGGTAGGGAGGGAGGGGATGCTGCTGGCATCTAGTGGGTAGGGTCAGGGCTTCTGGTAAACATCCTACAGCGCACAGCACAACTCCCAACAAGAAGGAGTTATCCAGCCACAAATGCCAGTGACGCTGAGGCTGAGAAACCCTGATCCAGAGGATGGGGAAAATAATACTGGATGATAAAGATGTGAGTTTTATTTTACTTTATTTTTTGTATAAATAGGGTCTTAGTATGCTTCTTAGTCTGGTCTCTAACTCCTGGTTTCAAGTGAGCCTCCCACCTTGGCCTTCCAAAGTGCTGGGACAACAGGCATGGGCCATCATGCCTAGTCCTCTTGCAGTTTTTAAATGAGATAATTCATGGAAAGAATGATGCATCGTGTCAGTCCTCTTCTCTCTGGTCTCATTCACAGTAAAAACTGTAGTTCTGTGAACCGCAAGGCCCTGTGTGACCTGGGTGGGCCCTGTTACCCTTTGATTTCACCTGCCACCACTTGTCACCTTGTCCACACTGCTCACCTCCATTCCCCAGGCACCTGAGCACACGCCTGCCCCAGGGCCTCTGCAGTTGCTGCTCCTGCTCCTGTGTCTGGAACACTCTTCCCCTAGGTGCCCCATGGCACACTCCCCGGCCTCCTTCGGCTCTCTGCTCAAATGTCACCTTATTAGGGAGGACTTCCCTGGCCACCCTGTATTCCATAGCAGTAGACTCTGGTTGTCAGAGTTTTCTCAGCCCCACACTGCTTGCTTTCCATCTGAATCCACTTAGCCCCTTCAGCCTCTGCTTCCCTTTGGCAGGTCTTGTTCTTTCATTTGCTGTGGAAGGTGAACCGCAGTTGTGCATACTTGGCCTGTGAAGTGTATATTCCTCTTTAACTGAGAGTTTGCCATTTTTTTTAAATATCAAAGGTAAACACGATTGATTTTAGAGATAGAACTTTATACAACCAAACCTTAAGTATCCACACAAACTGACAGAATGCTGTACATTTAGCTAAGGAATATGCCACTCTGCTTATATTTTAATGGGAAGGTGACTGCGGAGTCCCTCCATGCAACGAGGGCTCCACACAACATAAAGCCGTTGTTAGGAGGGCCTGGACTGATGTCCACTTTCCTGAACTGGCCTCTGATGGCTGAGCAGTGTTCTGTGCCTTGCTCACACTCGAAGATCGTGGTCAGGCTGTGGCAGACGTTCATCTAGGGCAGAGGTCCCCTGTTTTCTCTGATTGTAGCTCTCAAGTTCCAACAGAGTCCACGTTGGCTGGCTCTTCCCTCAGGTCCTGGCTCATGTGTCCTTCAACAGATACCTGCTGAGAAGGGCTGCCATGTGCCTGGCACGTTCTAGGCTCTGGGCTGTAGCAGTGAATGAAAGGCAACAGCTCCTCTCCTGGAGTGCCACTGTGGGTAGAGTGCTGGGCATTGAGAGCATCGTGCCTGACTCATCCCTATTTTTAATACTGCTTCTCATGAGATGGTAGCTAGGCAGTTGTAATTTGTCCTTCTTCTCTTTTTCTTTCCAGATGTCCTCAATGGAACTGTAACGTTTTTGCCTTTGGAAGAAGATGATGAGGGGAAGTTAAAGGTTAAGATGAGCAATGTATATCAAATTCAGCTCAGTCATAGCAAAGAAGAATGGTAAGAGCTGGATAGTGGACTCCTAGTTTTGTGGTTTCCATTGAGGATTTCTTTAGGTAGCCAAAGGATTCTGGGTTGCCAGAGAGCTTAAGGTCCTGTCTCTGAGGTGGTTATGGTTTGGTAGGAATGCAGTTGCTAGCTCGTGTGCCCATGCCATGTTGCTCTTCCTGTTGGTGCCTCGAGTCTAGGTGGTCACAGCCTGGCTGGGGTCTCTGATCTCTACCTTTCCTGTGGCTGTGATGTTCAGCAACCCTCAGTGTTAGCTCTGAAGTCAAATACACTCAAATTCCTTTATTGTTATTGTTATTATTATTATTATTATTGAGACGGTCTTACACTGTTGCCCAGGCTGGAGTGCACTGGTGCCATCTCGTTTCACTGCAACCTCTACCTCCTGCATTCAAGTGATTCTTGTGCCTCAGTCTCCCGAGTAGCTGGGACTACAGGCACCCACCCCCACACCCAGCTAATTTTTGTATTTTCAGTAGAGAGGGGGTTTCGCCATGTTGGCCAGGCTGGTTTCAAACTCCTGACCTCAGGTGATCCACCTGCTTTGGCCTCCCAAAGTGCTGGGATTATAGGCATGAGCCACCATGCCCAGCCTATTTTGTTATTTTTTATGACTTAGTAATGGGGAATAGTTGATGCTTCCTTCTGTAGTAAGTATTCAGTGATACTTACTATAAAGCAACAGTTTAATAAGCACCCTTAATTCCATGTGGTATTTGGACCTGTACAGAAATTATGAAATTTAATTCATACTGCTTTTTGTTTTGTTTTGAGATGGAGTCTAGCTGTGTCGCTCAGGCTAGAGTGCAGTGGTGCGATCTCGGCTCACTGCAACCTCCGCCTCCCGGGTTCACGCCATTCTCCTGCCTCAGCCCACCGAGTAGCTGAGACTACAAGCGCCTGCCACCATGCCCAGCTAATTTTTTATATTTTTAGTAGAGATGGGGTTTCACCGTGTTAGCCAGGAAATGGTCTCAATCTCCTGACCTCATGATCCACCCGCCTCGGCTTCCCAAAGTGCTGGGATTACAGGCGTGAGCCACCACGCCTGGCCTTGATTGTTTGGTATTTTTAAAACAAAAATGTCAGAGGAGGGGTGAATTCATTCATTACTCGTCAATTGATATTTTCCTGAGTGCGACATCCAACCTGTACTTTCTGAAACAGTCTTGGGGATAACGTCTGAGTAACTGGAATGAGTTTGCCTGGGGCTTCCTAGAAGGCAGAGGGGTGTGGCCAGAAGAGTGTGGGCTTCCCACTAGCAGTGTGGTCTTGGGTATGTGCTCTACCTCCTGGCCCTCCGTCTGCTCACCTTGAAATGGGTTTAATCATTCCTGAGCCTCTGAGGAGGTGGCACGGCTGGGCCTCACATGGACCTGTTGCAGCCTTCGCGCTTGAAAAGGGCACTCAGGTCCTGTAGCATGAAGCCCTTTGAGAACCATCCAGAGGTTGCCCCTAGTTGTCAGGGGATCCTGCCCTGAGGTCCCTTCCTGCCAGCATGCCCTTGTTGGAGAGTGGGGAGGGACAGTAGACACTAGGAGAAGCCAGGCTTCCCTGTGCCAGGCACCTTTGTGCTCGGCGATGCTGAGCTGTGTGCCTGTTAGCCCAAAGGTGGTGCCTGTCTTGGGTGCAGTGGGCACCCGGCGCAGGGCGGGGTTGCAGGAGGTGCTCGGCATGTGCCTGCTGCATTGGAGTGACCTTCACTGCTCTTTAATGAGCTACCAGGGACATGGCTGCTGCCCCTGCCTTCCCAGGGTGGCATTTCTAGTCGTAGCCTCACCAGGCAACTGTTCCTCGCAGTCTCTGGGCACAGGTCACACTTGAGGGGCCAGCTGTATTGCCTTCTGAGTTGAACACAAATGAGGGGCTCCACTGCCGATGTGCATGCTTCCTCGCAGCTCGATGCGTTTTCAGCAACATTTGTTACATGCCCAGCATGTGCTGGGGCTGGGCACCCAGCGGGAAGCGAGTCTCCTGGGGCAGTGGAGAATATCTGCTCCCATACCACGTGGTGAAGGGAGGAAAACAACCGAGCAGGACTGTGTCCCCTCATTAGAAATGGCAGTCTGGAGAGGCCAAGGTATGTGGGAAGGCCTCTGAGAAGGGACATGGAAGAGAGGCGGATGAAGGAGGAGGCCACGTGGACCTCTGGGGGACCCTGGGGAAGAGCACGAGGCCCAGGGAAGAGCGAGGAGTGCCCCTTGGGCAGAATCTGTCTGCAGCGCGCAGGGGCCACCGAAGTTAGCGTCAGGCCCAGCAGGAACGCTTCTGACTGAGCGGGACAGACCTCACAGTCCCGAGGAAGGAATTGGGCCAGGGGAAAGGTTCAGACCCACTCTGGGGTCACTCTCTGGAGAATGTTCTGGAAGTGACTTGTGTCCCTCTGAGGGACCGTATGGCGGCAGAAAACCTGGACACGCACAGCGCCGTCACTAGACTGACACTGGCGCGTTGTCCCTGCACCAGGGCCGTGCTGCTGCTGCGCCTCAGCGCTCCTGTCAGGCCTCCGGCTCTTCCCGCTCACCCAGTGCTGGGTCCTGCTTGTTCTCAGGAATGTCCATTGAATGCGCTTTTATGGTAGCTTTCTCTCATCTGCCCAGCAAACTTAATGCCCTCCCCTTCCTTATGCTGCCCCAAATGCAGCCCTTGGGCAGTGTATTATCTGGGTTCGTGTCTGTCCCGCCAGTCCTCCCAAGGATTGTGAGCTTTTACTCATGTATGAAATGCATCCATGAACAGTGCCTGCCGTGTGTCAGCACTGGCTGGGACACGGGGGCGGAGCAGTGAGCTAGACAGACAGAAGCCCTGCCCTTCATGACCTTCTGATGGCAGAAGACATGTGAAAGGCAAAATAAGCCAGCAAAATGCACCAGCGGCCTGTGGGCTGAGCACTTCACTGTCTGGCAAGTAGCATTCAGTGAGCCAGTGTACTCATTTTGAGTTGCACGTGTGAAAATGCGTAAAGAATAGAAATGTTAGGAAGATCCTCGGACGCTTAGACTCTGGCTCCTTGTGCATGAAGCAGCAGGAGAGAGTCCTTATATTGTTCGGCTGCCTCAGGGGCTTCACGGGTGTGTAAGATGTTCTTAACAAAGTTTGCAAGAAAAGAGGATCTCGTAGCTTTTTACATGTTTTTCCTCTATTTAGCATGAAATTCTGTAACTAGTGTCTAGTTTCCTTTTATCGTTTTGGGTAATATAATTATAGATGTTCTTGCTCTCTGTTCTCTTCATTAGGTAATATATAATTTTAAAATAAGATTAAACCATTATCTGCTTATTCCATCAGTTCTCTTATTTTTAAAGGTTCATATCTAGTTTTAATTTCTGTCCCAGAAAGGATGGCATTCATATGGAACTTGTGTATCCCAAACCCACATGGCTTGGAGAAGATTTACTGGCCAAGTTGGCCACAGTGGTCCTGTAGAAATCAAGACAGAGTGACTTAAAAGCACCCTTTCCCTCGTTCTCCATTTATGAATTATAGGCAATGGCTTACCCAGGAACTGAAAGAAGAAGTATAAGGAAATGGTCAAGGTGATTTTGGTGGAGGTATCTGTGATTTTCCTCCTTCATGGTTTTGGGTTTTTTTTTTTTTTTTGTGACAGAGTTCTTGGCTCTGTTGCCCAAAAAAAGGGCCAGATCGTGAAGTGGCGTCATTCTTGGCTCACTGCAGCCTTCCGGCTCCCGGGGTTCAAGAGATCCTCCTGCCTCAGGCCTCTCGAGTAGGTGGACTACAGGCACATGCCCACCACGCCTGGCTGTAACTGTTTTGTAGTTTTATTAGAGGATGAGGCTTCGACCATGTTCTGTCCCAGACTGGTCTCGAACTCCGAGCTCCGGGCATTTCGGCCCGGTTTCGGCCTCCCAAAGTGCTAATATTACCAGGCGTGAGCCACCGTGCTCCACATCCCCTTAATTGAAATGAGGTATAAAATAATCCAAACTTTGCCAGGGTAAAATTGTTTTTCCTGTTGCAGGCTGTACTCTGACGTACTTAGGGGTGCACAACAACAAAAACATAGATTACATAATGAAAAGTATTGATCTTGTATATTATTTATTTTCAAGAGACCTAAAGGGAAATATTTAATTGAAAAGTAATGAAACCTTGAAAAAAAAATGGCTAAATTACCATAGTTGTTTGTATAAACCTAAAGATACTTTTTTATTTTTTTTTTTATTTTATTTTTTATTTTTTTTTTGAGACGGAGTCTCGCTCTGTCGCCCAGGCTGGAGTGTTAGTGGCTGGATCTCAGCTGCCTACTGCAAAGCTCTGCCTCCCGGGTTCACGCCATTCTCCTGCCTCAGCCTCCTGAGTAGCTGGGACTACAGGCTGCCCGCCACCTCCGCCCGGCTAGTTTTTTTGTATTTTTTAGTAGAGACGGGGTTTCACCGTGTTAGCCAGGATGGTCTCGATCTCCTGACCTTGTGATCCACCCGTCTCGGCCTCCCAAAGTGCTGGGATTACAGGCTTGAGCCACCGCGCCCGGCCAAACCTAAAGATATTTTAAGAAAATATATGAAAAGTTAAAGTACAAAAGAGCAGTTCCCAAAAGGAGATACATTTCATGATAACATGCGCTTAAACTTTCTGAGACGTAAAAACAGCATAACAAGAAACATCTGTGTATGTATGCCCAGCTTAAGGCAGAAAGAAAGCGTTGCTGGTAGAGTCAAAGCTACTTAATATTCTTCCAAGTTCCCATCTTCCTCCCCCTCCGAGGAGTAACCACAATTTGTCATTTCCATGGTTTTCTGTTTGTGTTTTGTTTTTGAGACAGGATCTCACTCTGTCACCTAGGCTGGAGTACAGTGGTGCACCCACTGCAGACTCAACCTCCCGGGCTCAAGCGATTCTCCCAGCTCAGCTTCCCTGGTCGCTGGGACCACAGGCGCATGCTACCATGCCTGGCTAATTTTTTGTATTTTTTGTAGACACAAAGTTTTGCTATGTTTCCCAGGCTGGTCTCAAACTCCTGGGCTCAAGTGATCCGCCTGCTTTGGCCTCCCAAAGTGCTGGGATTACAGACATGAGCAACTGTGCCCGGCTTCCATGTATTTTTTTAATCAGTCACTTCTTGCTCTGTAACAAAAGCACCCCAAAAGTCGCAGGCTTAAAGCTGTGACCTTTCATTATTGCTGAAGCACCTGTGGGTTGCAGGGGTTGGCTGACTGAGGCTGGGCTCCCTCCCGCATCCTGGCCTTGTGGCCCTTTGCCATCTTGTTAGCTATTTAGTACCATCCAGAAGGTACTTTTTGTTTTTCCAGCTTTTGAAATTGTTTCTAGTGAGACGGTTCATCTGGATTGTCTAAGGCACTATGACTGGAAATATACATTTCAACTTTTAACATTGGCCATTGGTTTTTCCTCTTTTGCCTAATGCCCCTTCTGAACATGACTACTTTTAATAATGAGAGCTCAGTTTTGCACAGCTAGTGCTTTACAGTTTTCAGAGCACCTTGATTATCCTGTGTGTTAGTTGAGGCGTGGGCTTTATTCCTGTTTGACAGGTAGGGCGACAACAGCCACTGATGGACCAGGGGCTGAAGCACTGGTCTCCTAGTCCGTGGCTCGCGGCTTTCCCTGCCCTAGTTTCACTCCCGCCCCTCGTTTCCTTGTTCATTGCCCTCATCTGCATGGCCGGTGAGCATCGTGTAGCTGCGCGTTTCCTGTGTCCACTGTCTCAGCTCAGCGCCTCTGTTGATTGTGAAATCTTGCTGTGGATTGTAGTGTTCTTGGCATGCCTTGTTTCTTTATGGAAATCTTTTATTGTAAGAAACCAGTTGTGAATTCCTGCCTTTGAGCTTGTATTTTCTATTTTAATGCACGATTAGTCCAGTTTGATTTATGCTTTATAGAGATACTTAAATATTGGGAAATGGTGGTGGAAAAACCGAACAATTTACGTTTGCTCTTGAAACTGTTTTAGGTGTGGCCTGAAGTCACTGATCCTGAGAAGTTCGTGTATGAAGATGTGGCTATCGCGGCATACCTGCTGGTAAGGGTGTGCGCAACCGTAGCTTCTCTGGAGCGGGTGGAGGTTGCTACAGGCAGATGTTCCCAGTAGTGAAGGACATTTTCCGAATCCGTAACAGCCGGTGCTCACAGTTCTGCTGGCCAAGGTTGGTTACCGATGTAACAGTTTGACTTCATATGGTCCTTTTGATGCGTCTAGAACAAGTTTGGGTTGAAACTTGACCTCGGGTTCAAACTTGACCTGCAGGCGGAACTGTATGTCCACACTCAGCAGTCATCGTGGAGGCACCGTCTGGCACAGGGAAGCACTGAGGAGCACGTGTCTTCCAGCCCTGGCCTAGAACCTTCTAGCCCTTTCCTCAGCTGGCTCGCTAGCTGGCTACATTTGGACATGCTCTCTGATTTAATCATCTTGGTTTACTTATCTATAAGAATGTTTAGAGTAAGCTAGGCTGAGGCGGGCAGATCACTTGAGGTCAGGAGTCTGAGACCAGCCTGGCCAACATGGTGAAATCCCGTCTCTACTAAAAATACAAAAATCAGTTGGGCTTGGTGGCGTGTGCCCATAGTTCCAGCTACTGGGGAGGCTGAGGCAGGAGAATTGCTTGAACCCAGGAGGCGGAGGTTGCAGTGAGCCAAGATCACGTCATTACACTCTAGCCTGGGTGGCAAGAGCAAGACTCCATCTCAAAAAAAAAAAAAAAAAGAATGTTTAATGTAGATAATTTCCAGTTTCCTCTCACTCAGAGTTTTCTTTGACCAGTTTGTGTCTGAATTATTCTTGTGTAGAGTGAATTACTACCTGACTTTGTTATGTCTTTCTCTTCACTTAGATTCTGTGGGAAGGAGAAAGGGCCGAGAGGGGACTAACTGCCAGGCAGTCCTTTGTGGACCTGGGATGTGGAAATGGCCTCCTGGTCCACATCCTGAACAGTGAGGGGGTAAGCCCGGCTCCCTCACCTTTTCTGGTAACTTGTCCAGAGTTTCCTCAGGTCAGGCACAGGGTTCACTGACATCTTTTTCTGCTGGTACAGCCTGGATTTGGAGTTAGCCGGCTGTCAGAGTAGGTAGGGACTTATAAATTTCGGTTAATTTGATAAACAGCTCATAAAACAAAGGAAATGTGATAATCGAATTGGACCTAAGTGGAAATCCCCAGGCCCCGGCGTGGACCTATAAAATGACAGGCTTTGAGTAGCGTGGATGTTTTTTTGCTGTCAGAAATTTCTTTTGAAACCCACCATCTCAAGGAGCTGGAGGGAGATAAAAAGCAAGGCAGGTTCTGCACTTCAGAAGCTTCAGGCCAGGCACGGGGCTCACGCCTGCAATCCCAGCACTTGGTCGGCTGAGGCGGGAGGATCACTTGAGCCCAGGAGTTTGAGACCAGCCTGGGCAACATGGTGAAACCCCGTCTCTGCAAAAAAATAAAAAGAAATAAGAGAAGCTTCAGTTCTGGCTTGGACGGCCAGTCATGTATACACAGACAACAGTATGGAACAGTGTGGTACTGGGTTTTGCCCCCGTTTTCTGGATGTTCACCTGATGGAGTGAAACCAGTCTTGGGCTGAGAGCGGCACCTGCCCAGGGAGCACTGTCAATAGGGGTGGGTCAGCTCTCGGTGGCTTGTACCTGGAGCTTCCTGCCAGCAACTCGTACCCCTCCCGGTGCGTCCAGCGCACCAGGTGCCATTACCCCATGATACGATGGCGAGCTTAGCCACTTCCTGCTAGGGAGCAACAGCTGGAACCTGCAGCCCAGTCTGGTAGTCCCAAGCTGATTTTCTTCCTGCTGTACTGTACAGTGCTGTACTGATGGGCTGCACATATTTGTCTATGCCTCCAAGGGCCTGAAATGGTTGTTACAATGCCCTTTTCAAGTGTGTTATTGAAGAATGAGTTTCTAATCATAATACCTGTAAGCTGGTTGTGGGGATGGTAGTGTATCAGGTGGCGGCTTGGAAGCTGGTACCTGGAGACAGCTGGGAGGTATCTCATGCACTCCTCCTCTTCTGCAGGCTTGGAATAAATAAGTTTGCCCTGTGAGAGACAGTGAGGGTGGCCAAGGTGCAAGAAGAGCAGGCAGCTGACCTTGATTAAGAGCAGAGAATTGGCTCACGTTCTCAGGTGTGCTCCATGGGGCACTGCCCTGGAAATGTTCCCACACTAAAGGCCACTGTGGTCACTCAACTCCATGGCCCATTTGAAGAGTCATAATGACCATTAGCGGAGTACACCTTCTTACCTGCCTCGCAGGGGTGGGGGTGTCTGTTTCAGACAGCCGAGAAATCGTGCTTGTGCCATCCGCAAATGCTAATGACAACACTTGAAAAAGGGCATTGTAACAACCATTTCAAGCTCTTGGAGGCATAGGCAAATATGTGCAGTCCATCAGTACAGCACTGTACAGTAGCGCAGGAAGAAAATCAGCTTGGGACCACCAGACTGGGCTGCAGGTTCCAGCTGTTGCCCCTAGCAGGGAGTGGCTAAGCTCGCCATCGTATCATGGGGTAATGGCACCTGGTGCGCTGGACGCACCGGGAGGGGTACGAGTTGCTGGCAGGAAACTCTTCTCTTGCCCTTCGTCCTGCTGGCAGTGCCTGCAGAGCTTTAATGTGTTCTTGCTAACTTATTATGAAGTACTAAGCTTAACCTTTGATTTCTAAAATTAATGTTTTCAGCATCCAGGCAGAGGGATTGATGTCCGGAGAAGAAAAATCTGGGACATGTATGGACCACAGACTCAGTTAGAGGTACCGTCTTTGTTATGCATGCCCTTGATCTCAGCATGGCTTAGCCCCCAGTGGGAACTGCTGTAATGAATGTGTCTCTTTGTGTAGGTCAAGCAGACATGCTGATAGCAAACCTTCACATTCATCTAAGTGCTCTGAAATTAGAGAAGTGAGAAAGACAGACGAAACTAGACCTTGCAGAGCTTTCTGGTTAAACTGACTTAGGGCGCTGACCTCCAGGTGAAAGTGCTGTCTCTCCCTGAGTCTGTCGGTGCCATTTGTATCTTGTGTGGGGTGCTCCCGTGCCACCTTGAGGTGGGGGCCGTGCCCCGTGCCCTTTGTGAAGTCTTCTCCAAGGCCTCCCAAAGGCTGCTCTTTGCAGTCAGCAAGCAGTGACTACCATGCCTGCCAGGACTCCACCAGGATGGGGACACCTGCAGCTGAGCCACCTAGGGTGGTGGCTGTGCCAGGGCTGGATCGGTTTACAGGGCTGTGGGGACTCAGAACCCTCTAAACCTTGACCCCACTCGGGGCCTCTGAGAAGGCTTCTTGGAGCACCCCCATGAGCAAATGGAGGCAGCCAGGTGCCCGGCATGGGAGTGAGATGCCCCGGTGGGACCACCTCCGGGCACACGGATGATGTACAGGGCAGACTGGGTGGCCCCACGTAAGTTCTCTCATATCTTTGGGCCAGTCTTCTGTACCCTTCACATTTCCCTTTTTTAGGACTTGAAAGGGACAATCTTACTTTTCTTAATGCCCCTACCCAGAGATAATCACTCTCTTTTATTTAGGGAAATCAATATGTACACATTTAGAGTTTTAAAAAATAACAAAACTTTGACCCTGGCTGCTTCTGTTCGTTTAACATCCCATCCTAGGCATTTTCTGAAGTCTTTGACAATTATTTGCAAGCACGTTGTTAATGGTTGAATAATGTTCCATGGAATTGAAGGTAACAGCAGCACAAACAAGTACAGCTGACCCTTGAACAACACGGGATTGAACTTTGTGGGCCCACTTGTATGCAAAGTGTTTTCAATAAATACATTGGAAAATTTTTTTGGAAATTTGCAACAATTTGAAAAAACTTACAGATGAAATGCATAACCTAGAAATATTGAAAAAAATTCAGAAAAAGTTAGATATGTCCTGAATGCATTAAACACACATACATACTAGTCTGTTTTACCATTTATTGAAATATATACAAATCTATACCATTACATATATATACAAATATATACCATTTACTACCATGAAATACATACAAAGTTAAAATCGACCAAAACTTACACAAACCCAGACTGTATGTGGTGTCATTCTCTGTCAAGAGAAATGTGAACGTAAAGATGCAGTATTAAATCCTAATTGCATGAAATTAACTGTAGTCCATACTACGCTACTGTAAAATGTCCTGGTCACCGCTCGTTGCTACTGCAGTGAGCCCAAGTGTTGTCAGTGCCCATTTAAAATGCTGAGTGACACCGATCACCTCTGTGGCACCCGCTCATTCCTCCAGTCAGGTGCATAGCCCAGTGAAACGTGATCTTCGGTATTTTGCAGCGTGTTTGGTGCAGTCCTGTAAACCCATGCACAATGCCACTGGTGATGCTGGAAGTCTCCCAAGAAGCAGAGAAAAGTCATGGCATTAGAAGAAACGGCTGAGTTCCCTGATAGGTCTTACAGATTTCGGTCTGCAGCTGCAGTTGCAGATAAATGAATTTCATTTCAAGATAAATGAATCCAGTGTAAGGACCATTTAAAAAAAAAAAAAAGCAAGAGAGGGAAAGAAATTTGTGAAACTCTCACTGCTGCTACACCAGCAGGCGGGAAAACCTTCACTTTTTGCAAAATACCTTTTCATCTCATATTTAGAATGCAGCTTTGATGTGGTTGCCAGATTGCTACAAGCAAAGCATACATATAGACTCTAATATGAATTAAGAAAAAGCAAAGTCATTATATGACAAAGGAGAAAGAAGGTGAAAGTTCTAAAGCTGGAGAATTTAATGCCAACAAAAGATGATTTGATAGTTTTAGAAAGTGATTTGGGTTTTAAAAATATCTAGATAACAGGAGGAGTAGCTTCAGCTGACCAAGAGGCAGCAGATGAGTTCCCAGACACCTTTAAGAAAATCACCAGAGAGGCCAGGTGTGGTGGCTCACGCCTGTAATCTTAGCACTTTGGGAGCCTAAGGCTGGAGGATCGCTTGAGGCCATGAGTTCAAGACCAGCCTGGGTAACATAGCAAGACACCGCCCCCCCCCCCACCTATCTCTACAAAAAATAAACAAAACATTATAAAAAGAAAATCATCAAGGAGAAAGGATGTCTGCCTGAACAGGTTTTTAATGCAGATGAAAATGCCCTATTCTGGAAAAAAAATGCCGAAAAGAAGAGAAGCAAGCCCCAGAATTTAAGGCAGGAAGGGACAGGCTAGTCTGCTGTTCTGTGCAAATGCAGTCAGGTTTATGATCAGGACTGCCCTTATCTGTAAAGCTGCTAAGCCTCAGTTTTAAAGGGAAAGGAGAAACACCAGCTGCCAGTCGCTCGATTGTACAAGAAGGCCCGGGCAGCAAGAACTCTTGTGATTTCATCAAGGCTTTGTCTCTGAAGTCAGGAAGTACCTTGTTAGTAAGGGACTACCTTTCAAAGTTTTGTTGATATTGGACAATGCTCCTGGCCACCCAGAACCTCTTGAGTTAACACCAGTGGTGTTGATGTGGTCTGCTTGACCCCAAACACAGCATCTCTTTTCAGAGAGTTACAAGGACCTTGAAGCCTCATTATGTACAGTATTCAATGGAAAGGATTGGATGCTGTGGAAGAGAACTACGAGAGAGAGAGACCAGCATGAAAATCCTGCAAGGATTTTACCACTGAAGACACCATCATTGCTCCTGAAAAGGCCATGAAAGCCACTGAGCCTGAAACAAATTCCCACCAAAGAAAACGGTGTCCAGATGTTGGCCTGACTTCACAGGAACAGAGCCAGTCAAGGAAATCATGAAAGAGACTGTGGATATGGCAAACAAAGGTGGGAGATGAAGGGTGCAAGATACGGCTCTTGAGAAATTCCAGAGCTAATAGACACCACTCCAGAGGAATGAACTACAGACAACCTGATGGAGATGAGTGCTTCCAACCCAGCGCCAGATGATGAGGAAGAAGATGTAAAAGAGACAGTGCCAGAAAGCAAATTGACATTAGACAGTGTGGCAGAAGGGTCCTGATTAGTCAAGACTGCATTTGACTTCTTTTGTGACATACTCACTTCTGTGATACGCACCGAAACTAAAGGAAATGGTGGAAAGATTGGCACTCATAGAAACTAAAAAGTAAAGCAGACAGAAATTATGATGTACTTCCATGAAGTTACGCTGAATGTGCCTGCCTCTCCCGCCTCCCCTTCCACCTCCTCCACATCTTCCACACCTGAGACAGCAAGACCCATCCCTTCTCTTCCTCCTCCTCCTCCTCAGCCTGCTCGGTGTGAAGAGGATGGGGATGAAGATCTTTTTGATGGTCGGTCCACTTCCACTCAATGAACAGTACATTTTCTCTTTCTTATGATTTTCTTTTATTTTTCTCTTCTTTTTTTTTTTTTGTTTGAGACAGAGTCTCACTCTGTCGTCCAGGCTGGAGTGCAGTGGTGTGATCTAGGTTCACTGCAACCTCTGCCTTCCAGGTTCAAGCAGTTCAGCCTCTCGAGTAGCTGGGTTTACAGGCACCCACCACCATGCCCAGCTATTTTTTTGTGTTTTTGGTAGAGATAGGGTTTCACCATGTTGGCCAGGTTGGTCTCGAACTCCTGACCTCAAGTGATCCACCCACCTCGGCCTCCCAAAGTGCTGGGATTACAGGTTTGAACCACCGCACCCAGCCACAATTTTCTTAATAATATTTTCTCTAGCTTTATTTTAAGGATATAGTATATAATACACAAAACGTGTTTTAATGGACTTTTACGTTTATATTATTGATAAGTCTTCTGGTCACCAATAGGCTATGAGTAGTCAGTTTTGGGGGAGTCAGAAGTTATACATGAGTCAGGTATAGTGACTCACACCTGCAATCCTAGCTCTTTGGGAGACCAAGGTGTGAGGATCACTTGAGTCCAGGAGTGTGAGACCAGCCAGGGCAACATGGCAAAACCCTGTCTCTACTTAAAAAAAAAAAAAAATTAGCTAGACGTGGTGGCATGCACCTGTAGTCCCAGGTATGCTGGAAGCTGAGGTTGGGGGGTCACCTGAGCTTGGGAGGTTGAGGCTGTGGTGAGCCTCGATTGTGCCACTGCACATCAGCCTGGGCGCTGCAGGTGAGACTCTGTCTCCAAAAGTTTTGCACAGATTCTTAACTGCATGTGTAGGGGTTCAGTACCCCCTATCCCCACATTGTTCAAGGGCCAGCTGGATAGTAATAAAAACTGACAGTCATCCAGTGCTGTGTGTGGATGTCTTTCTAAAGGTAAATGTACTTTATGTACAGTAACTTACTGTAATCCTCACAACAGCACTGGGAGGTTGATTCTCTTATTATCCCCATTTTACAGGCAAGGAAACCGAGGTATACTTGGGGAGGTTAGGTCAGCCATGTGTACAGCAAGCGGTGAAGGCAGAATTATTTACTCAGCTCTTCTGTTCTTGGCCATCTGTTTGCAGATTACAAATTACACTACATAAATCTTTGTGTGTAAATCGTAGTCCACTTAAAAAATATTTTTCATACCTGGACTTTAAAGATTTTCAATACATATTGCCATACTGCTTTTCAAAAAGGTCCTACATCAGATACACTTCATTTCAGAAAGAATTCTGAGCGCTACAAGAGATGCATCCAATAGGAGAAAAAAACAGCTGTACAGATTGATCACATATTTGAGTGCCCACTACCTGCCAGGCACTCTTAGGTGCTGACGATACAACAGAGACAAGACCCCTGCCTTTATGGTCATGGGAAGGGGGTGGGAGGCAGACAACCTGCAGACACACAGCCAGTGCGTGCAGCAGGTTCGAGGCTGGTGGCAGGTGCTGAGGAGGCGGCCGGGGGTGTTGCGTAGTGGCCACCGCTGGAGAAGATAATGGAACAGAGGCTGGGCCGGGGTGGGTTACAGACATCCAGATGCCTGGGGTTCTGGACCTGACAGCCCATCTATTCCTCGCTGTCAGCCAGTCCTGGGCACTAGAGTCATGTGACCATGAGCTTAAAGTGCACTCAGGTGTCAGACCTTGGTCAAGAGTAGCCTGGTACTGAGGACAGAGAAATGACTCCCTAATGGGAAAAAAGTCATGAGTAGCCTCAGGAGCACTCCTAGGACAGGTTATAGTGGCTCTGTGGGCGTGGCCTCACTTTCCCAGGGTGGTGTGGGAGTGGCCTTTCCCTCTGGGTGGGCCTGTGGGCACGGCCTCACTTTCTTTGGGTGGTGGTTTGGGCGTCACCTCACCTCCTCTGGGTGGTGGTGTGGGCGTGGCCTCTCCCTCTGGGTAGTGGTCAGGGCGTGGCCCCTCCCTCTGGGTGGTGTGGGTGTGGCCTCGCCGCCTCTGGGAGTCTGTGTGGGCGTGGCCTCTCCCTGTGGGTGGTGGAGAGAGTGTGGCCTCTCCCTCTGTGTAGCTCTGTGGGCATGGTTGTCCTTCCCGCCAAACAGCTGCTGCTTCCTAGCTGCTCAGATTGCCTCACGACCTCATCCACGTAAACGCTTGGATGTGACTAGGTCACAGAGCCTCATCTGCCAGAGGGCAGAATGTTGCTTTATGAAATTTAGAAATGTGGTTGATTACAAAATTCCATGTGTCCCCAGGTGAAAAAGCACCTATGGATAGGAAATTCAAGCAACAGTGAGTAGGCCATCTGTGTAAGCCCAGACCCTAGGGAAGAACTGCTGGGGGTGCACCTTGGAGAACGGGCAGAAGCTCTAGTTCTTTAGCTGAGGTTCCCCAGCAGCCTGCATCAGACTTTTCTGTGGGGTTATCTGACCTGGGGAGACCCTACCCCGAGCACTTAGTTAAGGAAGGCCTGCTGGTGAGAGTGCTGTATTCTAATCAAGTGTGTAGGTTTTTTCCTCGTTACCTCCCAATCTTCAGTCTCAGTGCTAAAATAGCCGTGTTTATTCTAGTGTTAAGTAAATGCCAGGAGTTCTGTCATGCTTTCTGCCCTGAAGGAGCATGGCCAGAATGAGGGTGGTTCTGTTGACATGTGCGTGGTGTTTGTGGATTTTCTAGTGAATGACTTCCTCCCAGCTGCAGCTGAGTGGTTTCCATGAACAGGTACAATCTAGAAAGTCAAAGGCCAAGCGTACAACTTTTTTTCTTTCTTTCAAAAACGTCATTTGATTGCAAGCAAGAGAGTGTTAAAAAACTAAAAACACCTGTTTATAACAATAGCATGGTGGTGATCACAAATTGTCTTAATTGTGTGAACCTATATATGAAACAGGAATATTGGAATCTGCTGTGTTCAAAATGCCAATCAAAACTTCATAAAGGCCAGGCATGGTGGCTCACAACCTGTAATCCCAGCACTTTAGAAGGCCTAGGCGGGCGGATCACCTGAGGTTGGGAGTTCAAGACCAGTCTGACCAACATGGAGAAATCCTGGCTCTACTAAAAATACAAAATTAGCCGGGTGAGGTGGCGCATGCCTGTAATCCTAGCTACTCGGGAGGCTGAGGCAGGAGAATCTCTTGAGCCAGGGAGGCAGAGGTTGCAGTGAGCCAAGATCACACCACTGCACCCCAGCCTGGGCAACAGAGCGAAACTCCATCTCAAAGAAAACAAACAAAAAACCACAAAAACAAACTTCATAAAACAGGTGGGGCTTTGATATCTAGTGCTGTTGGCAATATAAAATATGATTATGGTCTTCACTAAATGTCAGTTATGGTTTAATTTATTCATGCCATTTAAAGAGACAGATGGGCAAACAAACCTGGAATGAGTGGGAATCAAGAATAAATAGTCCCAAAGGTTTGACCTCTCTGTAGATTATACGTATACCTTGAACAATACTATTTTCAATATTTTAACATCTATGTAAATAGAAGCACATGTGCTTATTGAAGAACCAGAGAGATACAGAATTTCAGTTTTAGTTTTTTACATATCATGTCTGCAAAACATTCTTGTGTTGCGGTTTTGCTGTTAGAAAGAATAGCCTTGAAGAGGGAGTGTCTCAGAATGGCTTCCCTGTTCCGATCGGGGAATAACTTCTGTTTGCTTATCTTGGGGACTCACCCCACCCCTGGAAAATTGAGAAGATTTTCAGTGGTTGTGTAGTCTCTCTTCCCCCTCTCTCTTTCCAGTTTTTACTGACAGAATTGCTATTGAGACTGTTGATTTCAGTAAGTAACGATGGCCTGCTAATGATCAGAAAAGGTAGGGTGCCTATTCAAAGTTCTGAAATCGTAAAAGCAGGCTATCCTCTGCTTAACTGCAGAATTTGTCAGGATGGTTAGAGTGCCTCTTCCAGGGGATCTTAATCACTTCATGATAGTTTACAAAAATAGCCTAATGATAAAGAATTACATGTATTGACATGTGTAAGTTCTCCTTCTGTCTATTCTTAGACTTGGCTTCCTAGATTGAAAGTCCTGTGAGGTGAGACCCCTGTGTTGTATTGTGCACTTAAATCACCCTCAGACTTCTCTGCCTTCCATTCACCTCCTCTGAAGCCATTGCTTGTCCCCATACTCTGCCAGAGGTGAAACCATTCAGTGGCCGTCTCTCCTAGAGCTCATTCTCATGCCTGTGGAAAAATCAGCTTTTAAATGATCAAAAGGCGATTAGCACTCAGAAAAGAGTGTTAGTTTCTCCAGTGATTTCCCTAAAAGTTGCCAGCATTTCTTGCCCTCTAGGCAGACCTAGGGCAGATACATTGACTTCCCCGTTCCTGGTCGTGCAGCAGGTGAACTACAGCTCTGCGCTGTGTGACCCCAGAGCCTGTACCCTCCCCCCGTGTCCTGCCCACGCAGTAGCTCTACATTGATTCACAAAACATTTTGTCTTGTTTTGTTACTCCTTTAGGAAGATGCAATCACACCCAACGATAAGACCCTTTTCCCTGATGTTGATTGGTTAATCGGTAACCATTCTGATGAACTCACACCATGGATACCTGTCATTGCAGCCAGGTGAGAAGTAGAGGAGTTACCAGGTGAATGACTGGGGAATGCTTCGTCTTCTAAATAGTGATGTCCAAAAGGGTAGCCACTAGCTGCGTGCAGTTGTCAAGCACTTGAAATGTGGGTATTTCCAATTTTTGAAATGTTTGCATATCACCTATATTGGGTTAAATTTAAAATAAATTCCACCTGTTTTATTTTACCTTTTAAAATATGACTACTGGAAAATACAAAATTTCTGAGATTATCCACATTATATCTCTACTGGCCAGCACTGATTGGCACTGTGATTATTCTACAGTATTTATATCCGGTGCCAAAAGAGGTGTCCTTTTTGGAAGTTGTCTTCTGAAAACATGAGGGTTTGTCTTTGAAGGGGAAGTCTACCCATCGGTGGAGCCTCTGCAGCCACAGTTGCCTCTGCACGGGGAGCTGCGTGTGTCAGAGGCAGCTGGTCCTGTGTCCGAGAGACTTGGTCACAAAGCCGGTTGTGCTGCTGCTCGTTGACGTTTCGTTGCTGAGTCTCCTTATCTCAGGTTCTTCTGAGCTGTTTTCATTCTCAAGGAGTAACTAGGTTAAAGATAGGTCTTCACTTGGGCTTGGTTGTGCTTCCCTGTAACAGTTCCTATTCAAGCTGACATCTTAAAGTACTTCAGGAAGTTTTAGATGACACTTGATAATAGTAACTGAAAAAAAAGTCATTTTTTATAAAAGTTATTAGATTCATATTTTATTGAAAAGATATATTGTGTTGCCTTATTTCTAGAAATTAAGTTAGGGAAGGCTGTAATTCATTTTTTTTTTTTTTTTTTTGAGACGGAGTCTCGCTCTGTCGCCCAGGCTGGAGTGCGGTGGCGCAATCTCGGCTCACTGCAAGCTCCGCCTCCCGGGTTCACACCATTCTCCTGCCTCAGCCTCCCGAGTAGCTGGGACTACAGGCACCTGCCACCACGCCCGCTAATTTTTTGTATTTTTAGTAGAGACGGGGTTTCACCGTGTTAGCCAGGATGGTCTTGATCTCCTGACCTTGTCATCTGCCCGCCTCGGCCTCCCAAAGTGCTGGGATTACAGGCGTGAGCCACCGTGCCTGGCTTAATTCATCTTTTAATATGAAAAACAATATGACACAGCCATAAAGAAAAGGAAATCATGTCCTTTGCAGCAACATGGGTGCAGCTGGAGGCCATTATCCTCAGCAAACTATTGCAGAAACCAAAAACCAAATGCCGCATGTTCTCACTTGTAAGTGGGGCTAAACATTGAGTACACAGGGACATCAAGATGGCAGCAACAGACGCTGGGCCTGCTGGGGTGGGGAGTGAGGGAGAGGGCAAAGGTTGAAAAACCACCTGGTGGTTACTATGCTCACTACTTGGGTCATGGGATCTGCCTTAGCCCAAACCTCAGCATCTTGCAGTACACTCATGCCACAAAACCTGCACACATACCCCCTGAAGCTGAAATAAAAGTGGACATTATATGTATATAAAAGGAAACAGTATTGGCCAGGAACATCACTTCCCTATTTTGCCCTGCTACATGATTGCCATGTGGCTTTGCGCCAAATTTCCTTGACTGCATCTGCTCTGGATGCTTGACGCTCTGGTTGTCGGTTCTTTTTGAAGGTCTTCCTACAATTGCCGCTTCTTTGTCCTCCCCTGCTGCTTCTTTGACTTCATTGGAAAATACTCCCGGAGGCAGAGTAAGAAGACTCAGTACCGGGAATACCTTGACTTCATTAAAGAAGTGGGCTTCACCTGTGGGTTTCACGTGGACGAAGACTGCCTCAGGATTCCTTCAACCAAAAGAGTACGTCTTGATTCTCATTGTTGTTCTTGGCGGTGTGTCGGTGTTCGGATGGAGAGCTCAGGACTCTGTCACAGAGCCGTCAACCATGCTGTAACGTTCAAAATGTTCCAGAACATGCTGGTGCTGATTTCTGTGCCTCTGTCACTGACGAGGCCCAGAGGCTTGTTCTGTCTCATGGTACCCTCCTTAAAGGCACCCCGGTGCTCCCTCCTCCAGGCCTGCAGGAGTCCTCGCCAAGCCCTCCTTGCCTCTCCAGAGGCTCTGAGTGGCCCCAGGGGACCTGCCCAGAGGAGGCCTCGGTGTGGCCTGTGGCTGAACTCCCTGGGGAAAGTTCCTGCTCCTTCAAGTCGCAAATAATTGGCTGCAATTGAAGTGTGTTTCAGAAGTTCACAGTGATTTCCCATTTTCTCATTAAAGGCCTGGTTCATTCAGATTCACCAGAAATGTCATTTGGGCAGAAGGTGGCCCGGGGACTTTCTGTGAGCAGCGTGACCGTGCCTCTGAACCTTGTGTGGACAGGGCAGACTTAAGCTGTGAGCAGCGTGGCCGTGCCTCTGAACTTTGTGTGGACAGGGCAGACTTAGGCTGTGAGCAGCGTGGCCGTGCCTCTGAACCTTGTGTGGACAGGGCAGACTTAGGCTGTGAGCAGCGTGGCCGTGCCTCTGAACTTTGTGTGGACAGGGCAGACTTAGGCCCTCTTGCCGCGCCAAGGGCTTGACCTTTCCAAAGAACCATGGAAGTGTTTACAGCCGCTCACCTCAGTCTCTGGTGACTTTATTTGACAACAGTCTGTGGCTGGCAGACAGTGTGCTTTTAAAAAATAACCCCGTCGTGTCCAGGTCACAGAGTTTGATGGCTGCCTTAGCAAGAAAGGGCCCGGCTGATCTGAGCGAAGCCTCAGCTCTGCTGCTCGTGGTTCACTCCGACTGATCGCAGAGCTCCACAAGCCTGTCCGCTTCTGTGAGACCAGGAGGCTGCCTGGTGCTTTGTGGAGGCTTAACAGGATGATGTCTTCAGAGTCACGGCGGGGAGGGCATGTCGTGGGCACTCGCTGGCCGGCTGCAGTCATAGCCGTGCGCCAGGAGCAGCGTTGGCTGTTGGCACAGGCCTCAGGGCCGCTGGCACTGTCACTACCCTGCTACCATGGGAAGTTACCTTAGGACTTGCTGCTGAACCGTCCCGTCATCCTCTCAGTGTCCTCCATTTTGGCAGGTCTTGGTCTTCTGAGGTCAGAACTGATTTGGGGAAACTGCTAAAGTTTGGGTCCTCTAGGCAGGTCCAAGGAGCCTGTGGCTTTGATTTTTGCACTTGCTGTCCCATTACTAATTGGTAGAGACCATGGACTGTCGCTTCATCTCTCTGAGCTTCAGTTTTCTTATCACTGGCAGGTTTGGTGATCGAATATAAAAGTGGATGTGAATGTGCTTTGTCATTTTTAAAGCAGTTCACACACAGCACATGTCTGGTGGGGCCTGGGTGTGTGACAGGCACTGAGAATTTAAAATCCTCCTGGAAGAGCTGGGGAGCAGAGGTGTGGCTATCACATAGTGAGGAGGTCGGCTTCCTTATCACCTGCGCCTGGCCTTGTAGTTGATGCCTGGAGAGGAAGCCCAGAAATAAGGCGCCCGTGCCATGGTTGGCTGGGCCTGCTTGCCCGGAGGGGACTCTGAAGGGCATCCTCCATCGGGGTGTGCCGGAAGGAAGGCGAGCATGCGTGGAGCGCCTCTGTGGCTCCAGGCCCTCTGCTTAGCCCCCATGTGCACTTGCTGGCTCTGGCAAGATGGGGACAAAGCTGCCTCCCTTCCCAGCCCCTGGGGCACTCTGCAGTGTTACCATCAGCATGTGCCCCCGCCCAGGTGGCCAAGGGGTGGAGTGAGGGGCGGCTGCAGGAAAGCTTTAGGACGGTGCGGCTGCCAGGCCCAGGAGTGTGGATTCTGAGTTTAGGCGCCTTTGTTAGGTCTTGTGAAGCTCCAAGTGATGAGAGGGAGCCATGGGCTCTTACGGTTTTTTGTTTGTTTGTTTTTAATTTTTAAGTAACTTATATTTGGTGTCAGTTTTTATTTTTTATTTATATTCATTTATTTTGAGATGGAGTTTTTGCTCTTGTCACCCGGGCTGGAGTGCATTGGCACAATCTTGGCTCACTGCCTCTGCCTCCTGGGTTCAAGTGATCCTCCTGCCTCAGCCTCCTGAGTAGCTGGGAATACAGGTGTGCGCCACCACGCCCGGCTAATTTTTGTATTTGTAGTAGAGACAGGATTTCGCTATGTTGGCCAGGCTGGTCTCAAACTCCTGACTTTAGGTGATCTGCCCACCTTGGGCTCCCAAAGTGCTGGGATTACCGGTGTGAGCCACCGTACCCGACTGGTGTCAGTTTTTGAAATCAGGATTTTTTCATGATAGACGTTTAAAACTTGTGATTTGTACTCCAGGATGAGAGAATTCCATGGAGAATGTTGAAATAGACAAGCCAGCTAAAATACTTGCTTTGCTCTTTTCAAACACAGGTCTGTCTCATTGGGAAATCGAGAACATACCCTCCCTCCGGAGAAGCTTCCGTGGATGAAAAGAGGACTCAGTACATTAAGAGCAGGCGGGGCTGCCCTGTAAGCCCACCTGGACGGGAGCTTTGCCCTTCTCCACTCCGGGTTGCTGCTGGCAGTGCTGGTCACTGTGACGGTCACCAGGCTCTGGGCGCCAGGGTCGGGTGTGTAGCCGGGGCCCGGGCCGCTGAGCGTGGAGCAGGGCCCCAGGCCAAAGGAGCCTGGCTACCTGGATTTCATCCCAGAGAAAAGGCTGAGCGCGTGAGGAACTGTGCCGCCCTGCCGCGAGGCTTTATCGACCGAGTGGTTTTGCAAGTGGCGAATGTATTGTTAGGCGGAAAGCGATTAAACACAGGAAGTTCTCGAAATGGGGGTTTGAAGACCTGGAATCGGGGAGGTAAGCTGTCCACCACCTCAGGGGCTAGCACGCTCCCAGGCTTGAGGGCGGGAATTCACGTGTTCATAACCAGCATAAAATGGTGTGGCCCTGTGGCTACACACACTGAAAAAGCCATTGATGGTGGGTGAATAGGCTCTCTTCAAGCAAAGTCTTTAAAATTTTCCCAATAGTTCCTGTAAACATAAAGGACTTTGTTATTTCCAGAGAGGAAGGCCGAGGCCAGGCCAGGGAGTGACAGAGTTTGGACCCTTAATTAACTTTTACAAAACAGGTTTAGGGGCTAGAACTACTCATTTTCCATCCAGAAATTATCCAAAGAGAAAACAGGTTACTGAGGCCAGAAAAAGGCACTGTCCCCTTGAGTATGCGGTAAGATTTGGAGCTGTTGTGATTCGATAATTTAATTCTCTTTGAAGTCCCCAAAACACAAAAATCAGCCATGGCAAAAGGAGAAAATTACATCGATTGTTCTCATGGGGTGAGTGCTGCGTTGAAATTAATGGCATTCAGAGAGCCAGCGGGGCCTGTAAGGACCTCGCCTCCTTCCAGGCAGGGATGCTGCTTGGCCGCCAGAGGGTGGTGTGGAGCTGCAGCCAGAGCCTGGCTTCTCGCAGCTTTGGGAACTGGAGAAGAGCATGGAGCCCCATCCCCTCCTGGCCCCTCCGTCAGTGACTCCTGCCTGGCTGCCCGTTTGAGGGCAACCCTTCCTCTCCAGGCCTTGCTTTCCTCACCTGTGAATGTTGGGACAAAATCATGGCCGTTTCCTTCTTCATCCTTTGTCCTCTTGCACCATGTGTACATGGAATGGGGCCGGGCCATTGAGCACAGACGGCCCCTCCAGAAATCATTCGAACCTGATGGTAGCTGGTCAGCAGAGCCTCTAGCCATCTGGCGAGAGTGGCCCTGGCTCAGTGGCTGATGGGGCCGACTAGCTGCTTGCAAATCACCAGGCACCGTGGGGTCTCTGGGTTGGCGCCTCTGACTAAAGGCACCCTGCTGTGGTGGGGCTGGAGCACAGAGGAGGAAGGCTGAGGCTGGCAGAGCATGATCCCAGCACAGGCAGCTGGGCCCCAGAGCCCCAGGGACATCAGTGTGGTCTGAAAGTTCCCATGTGCAGTAAGCAGTGACAGTTCTTGAGTGCAATTTGACCTTTAAATTCCCAGGAGATGACGAGTGCACAGATGTCAGCTGTGCCTGGGATGGACAGCTTTTGGTGGGTGAGGAGGAAGGAGGAACAGACCTGGAGATGGAGAGCGGGGGTGGCTGAGTGGTGGGCTCAGTCCTGCCTGCCCCTTGGAACCTGGGAACCAGGGCGCCTAACAAGCCCCGTACCCCCATCCCCTCCAGATTGGTGTCCGTGGGTCTGGGGCTTGTTAGGGGCTCTCCATGTGGCCATGCTGTGAGAAGGAAGGAGCTGTGCCCTTGGCCTCTCAGCCTACCGCCTCCCTCCTGTCCACAGGCAGCCTTCAGGGCCTTTGGTCTCACCCCCACCCAGCATGTCCTCAGACAGGCCCCTCTGTGTTTCTGTGCCTGTGGGCCATGTGTGGCTCTGGCTCCAGGACCTCACCCATCCTAGCTCCACGTCTGCCCCTGTGGGACATTGCTGAGAAACAGGGTGGGAAAGGGCCCTGCCCTCAAGAGGCTCCAAGTCCTGCGTTGCTAGGAGTCAAGGCCGCACACGTCAAAGGATGAGTAACCAAGAGGCTGGATGTGCCAGGCCCAGAGGCACCCACGGCTGCAAGTGTGAGATTCCCCGTTATGGAGTCCGTGCCAGGCCAGAGGCAGGGGCACAGGGAAGGCTGACTGGGACGATATGTCATCTTTTTTAAAACACTCCCACTCCTCTCAGAATGGATTTGAGACAGACGAGAGGTTGACTCAGAAGACTGGCCGGGCTGGGATAGGAAGGACTCCCGCAGCAGCTGCAACAGCAGCTGCCCGCACCGGGGTCCTGGGTCAGCATTGTGGTGCCCTGATCTGTGGGGGTCCCACAGGCCCAGCTGCACGCAGGCAGGCACCGTCTCCTCCGCTCTCCTGCAGCTTGGAGGGTGCAGATAAGACGTGAAGTGCAGCACCTGGCAGGTAGGAAGTTCCTGGCAAATACACATAGGAAACCCAGCTTTCATTCATATCCAATTTGATGTTTTGGTAATAAATGACTTTATTGTCACCAGGTTTTCTGATTAGAGCATTTTGAAATACATGCAGGCTTTCAAAGAAGAAATTCGAATGGGAAAGAGACCATCACTGTGGTGTCTGTGCTGTTGCTTTTTTTTTAAACACCTAGTGTGGCCTTGCTGGCCACCCTGGAGCCGGTAGCGCCAGGCCTGCTGCCGCATGGTTGGAGCAGCCACTGGGGAGGCTCAGGCCCCAGGCCTGCCAGCTTGGCCTTCCTTCTTTAGTCTGAGAAACCCTGGCTCCAAACAGCCACCCCCTTCATGGGTCACCAGCGAGAAGAGCTTGAGGTGACCACCCAGAGCAGGCAGCATCACCTGACGCCTGGCCCTGTGCGGGCAGGAGGCATGTGTGGGGCTGCGCCTCGTCAGGCTGCGCCACCTCAGCTGGGTGGGGACACCACGGCCCTCACGGTTTGGCCACGGTGTGGTGTGGGTTAGTTGAGATGGAATCGTGGTCCTTCGTGCTGGAGTGCATAAGGCGTGAGTGTACGGAACTGAAATGGACCGTTTCTGCCTGTGTGACAGGTTTGTAATATTTTGTTGTGGTTTTAGGGAAAAAAAAACAAACCATTTTTCCACAGAGAGCCTATCTCTGGCAGAAGTAGCCAGTGAGCTGGACACGGAGACCCTGCGGAGGCTGAAGCGGGAGTGTGGGGGCCTGCAGACGCTGCTCCGAAACAGCCACCAGGTGTTCCGAGGTATGGGGTCTGCCCCTTCACCGCTTTTCTCTTTCCTTCCCTTTCCCGCTTTTTTCTGTTAAATAACGTTTTATTTTAGAGTGGTTTAGACTCTCACAGAAGAATCTGGCAGAAGCACCAAGTTCTACGGTGCTCCACCCAGCTCTGTCGTGGGTAGCATTTGACCTCGGGGTGGGACGTGGGTCACCCCGTTTCCTCCTGGCTCCTCTGGACCTTGTCCCATGCGATGTCCCCAGGCCGGTCTCCCTCCCCCTATGCTGTACTTGCTGACACCTCAGCTCCACTTGCTCCACACAGGACAGAGCAAGTCGGGCAGCCACTGGCCGGGCCCCTCTTGGCTGGGGGTCCTTGTTTGGCTTCGTCTTTAGCTGCTGCAAACTGGAAGCATCCAGAGCCACAGAGCCAGGGTGGGGAGTGGGAGGAGTGAACCCCTCCCCACAGGCGGAGGCCTGGACTCCTGTGGCCCTCGCTCTGCGGGCCTGGGCAGGGGGAAGTCCTGGTACCCAGCTCCACTGCTGGGCAATGCCCTGTGACTCCAGGACTGCCAGGGCATGGGGAGGTCCTGGTACCCAACTCCACTGCTGGGCAATGCCCTGTGACTCCAGGACTGCCAGGGCATGGGGAGGTCCTGGTACCCAGCTCCACTGCTGGGCAATGCCCTGTGACTCCAGCACTGCCAGGGCATAGGGAGGTCCTGGTACCCAGCTCCACTGCTGGGCAATGCCCTGTGACTCCAGGACTGCCAGGGCAGGGGGAGGCAGGAGGGCCCGCCACCCGCTTGTCCATTCACTCAGCCCACAAAGCAAGGCAGACACATCCCTGGCCTGCTGCAGCTGGCGGTGCAGTGAGGGAGAGGGAGATGTAGCAGGTGTTCCCCCAGGGGCCGGCGGTGTACACAGTTCCATCATCTGCAGCTTCCAGGTGTGCACAGAGGGGGCAGGGACGGGGGAAGCCACAGTTTACCAGCGCCGGCGGCTGGGGCGTTTGCCGTAACTTGCTTCGTGGAGCTTTTTTCCCCCTCTTTCTGTAAGTATTTTAAAGTGAATACCAGCTAGCACCCTATTTCACCCTAAGTACTTCCACATGCATCTTTAAAAATACTAGGTGTCTTGTGTCACCACCATGCCCTAAGCACACATTTCTGTGAGTCGCGATGTGCAGGGAGAACTGGCCTGGCCCAGAGTGGGCTCAGGAGGGCTTTACTTAGGAAATGACACTTGAGCTGGGCCTGGAAGGAAAAGAGGAGTCAGGAACAGAGAACAGCTTTTAGGCAGAGCGAACAGCATTTGCGAAGAGCCAGGGTTGGGAGGAACAAGAGTGGGAGCTGGTGGGGCTGTAGCTGCCATGACCAGGAGAAGGACTGGGCCTCTGACGGATGGGTAGGGATGACACCGAAGTCACAATGGGAAGGAGTGGCCTGGCTCACACCCTAGCTTCTGGGTCCCCTGCCCATGAGGCTGCCATGGCGGTCAGGTGCAGTGCAGTATCTGGCTCTGTGCATGTGTGAGAGAGCACAGGTGTGCGCGCCATGCTTATTGTGTACACAAGAGTGCAAGCGTGTGGGTTTGTGCACACACACACTGCCTTTGGGTGCCCGCCTGCTCTTGGAGAGCTGAACTTGGCTTTCAGCTGAACTGGCTTCTTTAGGTGACAGTTGCTATTGGGTGGGGGGCCCGAGAGCATGGTTGGAGCCTCTGTTTCCTGGGACAGGTGCAGAAGCATGTTCCTGAGGCTGCCTCCAGGGTAGACACTGGGCCTGCAGTGGTGGCTGGGCTGGGCCTGCTGCCTGGAGTCTGTTCTTCCTTACACAGAGCTTCAGGCAGTTAGAATATTTCCCGCCTCCACGGGGCCTCTTTCTGTCTTTCCCAACGCTTGTTTTTGTTGATTTCCTGAAAGACTGTCCTTTCACCCACGTGGGTGTGTCTGCCTGTGTGTCAGTGTTTTTCTGTGCAGGTCACCCTGGGGGACAGACTTGTTTTTGGAAACACTTCTGAGTAGGAGGCCTGGGGGTTGGGTTCCAAATAAACATTCTTCCCCAGTCATGAGAAAACTATGCTCTGAAGCTGGGTCTTATCTCTGTATGAGGTTTAGGTTTTGTTTTAAGCTAACGTGGCTAGTCTCGGAAAATGTTCACGAGAGTGAGGAATTGGAAATGTTTCCAGATGGCTTCAGGTCAGCCAGCCTGAGCATGACCTGTGAGGGCCACGAGGGCCAGCCCTGCCTCTGTCCCCGCCCCTTCCTGAGGCCACCGAGGGGTGGCTCCATGCTGGCTGGTATGGAACCTGGCACCGTGCTGCTGGGTACACGTGGGGCCTCATCGTATCCTGCACTCGGGGCAGAGCAGGCCTTTCCTCCTTGAACCCGCAGACACGGCTCAGAGAGGTCAGCGCGCCGGCCCGAAGTCTCCCAGTGAGTGGAGAGGCCGTGCCACAGTCCAGGCCAGGTCTGACCCAGCACTGGCACCCCTGAGCCTGCGGCATCATCCGGGGCCATTAATCCTCAGCCCGTTCCTCAGAGCAGCTTGGTGAGGGGGAGTGTCTGCTGTCAGAAGCAGTGGCGGAGGTGGCGGTTCCTGTGCGGAGTGAGAGTCCCAGGGGACGCGCACAGTAGCGGGGGAGGAGGCGGCAGGAGCTTGGGTCGAGCAGACTGTGGCCCTGTGGTTCCATTTCAAAATGAGGAGTGCATTTCCAGAGGAGGAGAGTCTTTCTAGCTGTTGGTTGTCTTTCTAGCTGGCTGGAGCGAGTGCCCCTGGAAGGCCGCCCCTTCTGGCACCTGGCCACATAGGGGCTCAGGTGTTGTGGGGGCGCTGGGAGCTACCTGCCATGTCCAGGGTTGTAGACATGGGGAGTGGGTCAGCGAGGCTGGGCCAGCCTGGAGCCTGCCTGTGCCATCCTGGGAGCCTCATCTCTATCATGAGCGCCCGCTCCTCAGTCCTTAGACACCCTGCAGGTCCTGCTTCCAAAACATGGCTGGGTGTGCTCTTAACTCCAGAGCCACCTGGGAGGGCCTGCTGCCAGTTGGCCTGTCACGTCGCGGCAGGGGGGTGCCCAGGCTGGCTCTGAGGGTGGGAATCTGCGCTCAGCCTTTGGCCTCAGTAATCCCCACCCCCTTCTCTTGACAGGTCAGGGCGTCAGGCCAGAGGCCCCTCAGTGTTTGGGGTCATGTGCCCCATGGGGAGTGGGGGGAAGCTCTGGCCCCTGGGGCTCCTCCAAGCACCCTTCAGAGGGTTCCAGATCCCTCAGTGGCGGGGATGTGCCCTTCTGTGCTGCGCCAGGAGGTGCTGCTGTGGGGACATCGGCAGAGCATCGTGGGACTGCCTTAACCGTAGCCTTCAGGTTAAGCAACCTCAGCTCCCATGTCGGAAGGCGAGACAGAGAGGCGGCCGTGGGAGGGCAAACGGGGTCAGGCCTGGCCTTGGCGGTGCTTCCAGCCAGGCTGTGAGAGTGAGCCCCTAGCTGTGTCCCTGCGTGCAGCGAGGCGCCGCTCTCTGGGCTCATTTCTCTGGTTTCAGGGGGAAACTATTTTTAAAGTATCAGTCTGTCAAAAGCACACAGGCTTGTTATTGCCACACACAAGGTGATTTGAAGGCAGAATTCAAGCTTTAATTCCTACACTTTCAAGTTCTCCTTGGAAGTCGGTGCGCCAGACTTCCTCACTGAGGCTCCTTTATTCCCCCAGCCTTCTGCCGCGAGCGCTGCCCAGCTTCCAGGGAGAGCCAGGAAGGCGGTGGCTGCTTTGGCCACGTGTCACAGGGAGTTGTTGGCTTCCCACAAGGAAACGGCCAAATGGGAGTGTAGGGGGTATCTTGGCCCAATTTGCGGGGCAGGGTCAGGAGGCAGCCTGGAGGAGGCCCGCGAGGCCTGGCACCCAGGTGACGAGCGGGCCCACAGCAGCCCTCTCCTGGCCCCACCCCACTCTGATGTCCCTCCAGCTCCCCAGTTTGGAGGTCAGCCCTGGCCATTGAGTCCCAGTGGCACTTCCAGAGTGGGTATCTAAACCACTGCGCAGAGGCGGGTACCCCTTCCTGTTCCTTTCCAGAGCCCCTTGGCCTCCCTTACTCCACACTTGCACCTGGAGGGGCTCCGGTTGGGAGGTGCATGTAAACCCAGTGCACCAGGATGGCACCAAGGAGCAGAGGCCACCCTGCAGCAGCCCTGTCCTTAGACTGTGTGGAGGGGCCTGCGCCTTGCCCCTCTTTCTGCCTGTGATGCTGAGACAGTCCTCAGAGGTCAGGGCTGCAGTGCAGATGTTTTCTCGTGTTCTGGCTCTCACACTGTGTGCCATCCTTCCTCCACTCAAGTGATCCTTCTGAAATGGTGGCTCTGCAGGACCTGGCACTCAGCCAGAGGGAAGGTCGGGGCCTCAGCGATGAGGCCACTTGGGACCCAGCTCTGTCCTCTGCCCTCCCCTCTGGCTGTCCCTGAAACGCGGCCTGTCCTGGTGCAGTCTGTCCTGGGACACTTGGGTTTGCTGCTTCTCTGCCTAAAATGCTCTTCCTGGGCCTGCGCGGGGCTACCGCTCGCCTCCCACAGGGCTCACCTTCCCCTTCCTTGCCTGAAGACCCATCCCGTACCTCGGTCACTCCCACTGGAGGCAGGCTCTCTGTGACCAGCAGGAACTCTGGGCTGTGTCACGGTTGTATCCCTGACCCTGGATTGGCACCTCCCATGGCGTGGGAGCTAAGCAGAGGCTGGTGAATTAAGGAACTTTCAGGTTTACTTCTCAGTGTGTCTTTTCTCTGTTCCAAACCACAGTTGTGAATGGGAGAGTTCACATCCGCGACTGGAGAGAGGAGACGCTGTGGGAAACAAAGCAACCGGAAGCGAAACAGAGAGTGCTCTCCGAAGCCTGCAAAACCCGCCTCTGCTGGTTCTTCACGCATCACCCTGACGGCTGTGCTCTGTCCGCGGACTGCTGCCCGTTTGCCCATGGGCCTGCGGAGCTGCGGCCACCCCGGACCACCCCAAGGAAGAAGATTCCATGAGCTGTGTCCTTGCCAGCCAAGGCCTGGTCGGTGGGGGCCAAACCAAGGAGAGCTTCCCCAGCAATCCTCAGTGCTGCAGTCTCTGCTCCGGCTGTGTTTCAGCCCACCTCCTCCCTAGCCTCCCATCGGCTTTCTCTAGATCCTCACGCCGATGAACCATGTTTCATAAACATCACCCGCCAGAGAAGCCACAGTTACTCAGAAGCCCCCAGCTGGTTGCCTGGCTTGTTTCAGATGCAGCCACTTGAAACGTGCACAGCATCTTCGTATCACAAAGATCGTGCATGGATCCTTACAGTGTCTCCTTGGGGAGAGCAGCTGGGGATGCCTTGCACAGGCCCCTCCCAGGGCGCTGTCCGACGCCTGCCCCACCATGTCCAGCTCTGTGAAGAGGATGGGGCTCCCCAGGAAGCAAGACCGTGTCTGCCAGCGTTTCTCACCACACTGGAGAGCAGCCGCTCTGGAGCAGGGATCCACCAGACTGGTATTTTTAAAAAAGGTATAAGGCTTGCTCTGTTGAGGTTGTTTTTACAGTTACAGAGAATAAAACAAAACACCCATAATTTCCTCACATGGGCCACTCAAGTGGCATGAAAAAAAAAATCATAGGTGAATTGTTGACAGGGCTTTAAAACTGTAAATATCACAGACGACAGAAAGGTAAGACCTACACCTTCCTCCCTCCTCCACGAGACCCTCTCCCCAGAAATACTGCAGCAGTTCTTTTTAGTCTTTCTAGAAAAAAAAATCCTGATTTGTTTCTCTTTTATTTTATTGAGAGATGGGGTCTTGATCTCTCGCCCAGGCTGGAGTGCAGTGGCACGATCATAGCTCACTGCAGCTTTGAACTCCCGGGCTCCAGCCATCCTTCTGCCTCAGCCTGTCAAGTGGCTGGGACTGTAGATGCACGCCACCATGCCTGGCCAACTTTTAAAATGTTAGAGGCGGGGGTCTTGCTATGTTGCCCAGGCTGGCCTTGAACTCCTGGGCTCAAGCAGTCCTCCCACCTCAGCCTCCCAAAGTGCTGGCATGACAGCCACGAGCCATGGCATCTGGCCCCGATGTTTCTATTTAAAGTTATTTCTGTGGTTTTATACAAAAGGTCACATGCAGTCCACACTGTTCTGCTGTTGACTTTCTGCAGCGTACCCTGGTGCCTCTCCACGGGGTGTATCCACCTGGTTATTTGCGGCCGCCGTGTGGCATTCCATGGCAGCGCCGCACTCGTCACTCCTGAGCAGTGAGAATAAATGGGCATCCACTCTGAAGGCACCTCAGCTCTGCAGCACCCCAGGGCGGTGCTGCCACGGACCCAGACCCTGCCCTCTGAGTTCCGAGTCAGTCCCAGAGCCCAGAGCCCAGGCTGAGGATGTGCCAGCAGGTACCTGGCCCTGGAAGCGTCCACCCTTCATCTTACTGGGAGACTGGCGCTCCGTGGCCCCTTGGGGCAGGCCCCAGTTGGTCGAGCCCCTGCAGCTCTGGCTAGTGAGGCACAAGGGAGCTCTGCGGGGGCCTCTGGGGTCTCCACACTGGGAAGTTCTCCCTGCAGGGGACACCTAATGTGGAAGCCCCGACGTAGCAACCAGGAGCCTAGCACTGAGGGTGGTGGAGCAGGAAGATGGAAAGAACTCTCTTCCCAAAGATGAGCCACAGAGCCGTGCCCTCCCTCAGCCGCTGTGTTAGGCCCTGAGGCATCTTCCTGCCAAGCTGCACCAGGGTTTGCGGGTTTTGTTGCTCAGCATATCCAGGGTCACGTACTTCAGGACAAGTGACCTGATGCCCCTCGGCCTCCCAGCCCTGCAGTCTCGCTGGAGCTCTCCCTGCAGCAGGAAGGGCTGAGCCCAACCACAGAGGGGCTTAGGGCGACATCAAGGGATGGCAGAGCGGGGAGTGCAGGGAGCCCGGCCCAGAGGAGCAGCCCTGCCACCGCCTCCTGGAAGGGGCACACCTGAGCTAAGCCCAGGACGCCACCCAAGCCTCGGGGCCTCCCAAGGTGTCCCCCAGGCCAGAGTGCACCGCCTCTGCCAGGCCCAGGATAGCTCCAGGTTGCTGGGCCCGTGTCTCCTCTCCCCTTCCCAGGTCTTTCCCAAGCCCAGAGCCCCTGCTTTAATTTTCCAGTGCGGGGGGACAGGAGAGTGGCCACAGAGCCTGGTTCTGCGCTCGGTGCGGCTGGACTCCAAACCTGGCTCCGGTGCTGCAGTCCTGGCGAGGGTGGTGGCCCTGGGGAAGACGAGCTCCCCCAACACTTGGCACAGCAGTTTCTAGTCATGAGCTGCAAGGACACAGTCTCAAAGGAGCATCAGATGGGGCTGGGGGCGTGTGGGGTGGCCCTGGCTCTCCCAGATGGGGTCCTACCAGGCCAAGAGCTGTGCTAAGTAGGGCCCACCATGGCCATAGGCCCCTCTGTGTCACCTGGCATAATCAGCTGGTAGAAATGGCCCTTGGTGACCACATCACCTGACCTGACCTCCAGGTTCTAGGTACCGTTTCTTACTACCCCCCAGCACCACTGTGCCCCTGTCCACACGTCATGTGACCGGGGGTCCGGCATGGTTACCTTGCGGCAATGAACGATGCATCTGTGGATGAGGGTGGGCAGATAGAGGTTTGGCGGGGGATGGGGTGGGGCACTGATCATGGCAGCCTGGCTGTGGCCAGCCCCAAGGGCTTCCCAGTGACTTCTCAGAGCCTGAGTGGGTCTCCCCTGGACAGGTGGGATTGAGGGAATGCCACAAAGGTGGGCAGGAGGGGGAATCTCGCCAGGAGTACAGCGCGTGTACACTGCTTTCCCGACTAGCGCCAGGCAGGCCCTACGTCTCACTGGCTGAGAGGCAGCCTCTGTCCCCCGGCACCCCGACTTGCCCCACCTGCTGCAGAGGAGACCCACCTGTGGTGAGCATTGTGGTCTTGGGGCCTGCAGGCGCCCTAGTGGAGTTACCATGGTGACCGCAGCCCCTTGGACTGGTGCTGGGGATTCAGACACCCCGTCGCACAGGCCTTGGCTCATGGCATGGCCAAGCTCTGGGGTCTGTTGGGGTTGGCAGGGCAAGCTTCCTGGAGGAGGGGCTGAGGCCTCGTATTTTCCCTCTCATCCTGCCGTCCGCTGGGGCTACTCTCCAGGGCCACAACTGTCACAGAACGAGAAACCCGGGCCTCGTGCAGAAGAGCCTTGTGTGGGTGAGAGTCCCAGGGAAGAGGCCGAGCCCTCTGCCGACTTGCCCCAGCTCATTTCTGCTTGACCCTTCCTTGTTGCTGGTTTTGCTCAGAAAACTGTATTGTGGACCTCATCGTTCTGGGAAAAGGTGGTTCATGAGAAAGCACAGTCATGTGTCACTTACCAGTGCAGATGCATTCTGAGAAATGCGTTGTTAGGTGATTTCATCATCCTGCCACATGAGAGTGTGCCCCGCGCTCCCAGATGAGACAGCCTGCCCCACACCCAGGCTATGGGGGACGGCCTCTCGCTCTCGGAACACACGCCTACACGGCTCATTGACTGTGCCGAATGCTGTACAGTTGTAATGCGATGGTAAGTGTCTGTGCAGCTAAACGTAGAAAAGGTGCAGTGAAAATATGATGTAAAAGAGAAAACATGCTTCAGCTGTGGAGGACACTCACCCTGATCGGGGCCTGTGGACAAGGCTGTGGGTGTCCGTGAGGGAGGGGGTGCCTCTGAGGCCCTGCTGCAGGCTGGATGAACAGCACGCTTAGGCCACACTCAGTTTATACTAAAAAATCCCTTCAATAACACATTCACCTGAGCCTATTTCTAACTTTTTAATTTTGTGAACTTTAAAAACATTTTTTACTCTTTTGTAATAACACTTAGCTTAAAACACACATTGTACAGCTGTATAAAAATGTTTTTCCTTTTTCTTTTTTTTGAGACGGGGTCTTGTTGTGTCGCCCAGGTTAGAGTGTAGTGGCGCCATCTCAGCTCACTACAGTAAGCCTCAGCCTCCTGGGCTTAACTGATCTCCTGCCTCAGCCCAAGTAGCTGGGACCACAGGCACGCACCACCATGTTACCCAGACCGGTCTTGAACTCCCAGACTTAAGCGATCCTCCTGTTAGGGGTGGCGAATATCCCAGCTGTCAGTGGTGAATTTAATGAGTCTGCAGCAGCCTCAGCTCTTGCCTCCTTGGAAGAAAGAATTCATCTGAAGGGCATAAGGCAGAAAAAGGAGACTGAGGCAAGTTTCCGAGTGGGAGTGGAAGTGTATTAAAAAGCTTCAGAGCAGGAAAGAAAAGAAAGTACACTTGGAAGAGACCCAAGCATGCACTCTGGAGGTCAAGTGCAGCATTTGACCTTTTGACTTGGGGTTTTATATGTTGGTATACTTCTGGGGTCTTGTGTCTGTTTTCCTGTGATGCTTACCTTAGGGTGGGCTACCTGCATGCACGGTGCCCTCCTTGCACTTGGGACGTGAGCGTTCGCAGTGTGTTTGAAAAGTTGTATGTATTTCACCTGAGGCTGCTTCCCTTTTCCGGTAGGATGCCCCCAGAAGGTCATGCTCTGCCATTTTGTCTCCTAATGCGCATGCTCTAGCCCACTCACCCAATTCCTGAGACTTTACTGGAAGCCACTGGTGACCAATTTCAAGTAACTTTATCTGTTGGGAAATTGCCTCTCTCTGATGCGTGCGACCAATGATCATTTTTAGAGAGGCAGTGTGACAACTGCAGGACCATCACCTTGAGGACTAAACTGATTGTTTTTCTCGCCCAAATTCCTGTCTAAGGGTTCTGGGGAGTCCTGCCCTGCAAATCATAAATTCTCATCAGATGGGTTTTATTTAACCCTGTATATTATGACCTACTTTCCAACCTGACTCGGGCATAACATTATAAGTCAAGGAAGAAAAATCAAAGTAGTTTACCTCAAAATGTGTTTCTTTGCTATATTTTGAAATGGCCCTACAAAGCTGTTCTGTGTGTGTGTTGGGGGGGCGGAATTTGCATCTGTAAAGAATCTCTGTTAACATAGCTAGATCTTTTTCTTCCAGGCCCTCCCAATCCTAAAGAGATTAAAAGTCTAGCACCCTTTGAAAGGGCTGAATAGGAAACATTTGTCATCTATTGTCTCTAAGGGCAGCGACTATAAGACTTCAAAGAACTTTGGTCTCCACAATCTTTGTCTTAACCTGAACACTCCCTTTCTATCAATCAGGTCTTCAGACAAACTCAACCATTTGTCAACCAGAAAATGTTTAAATTCACCAATAGCCTGGAAGCTTCCCTCCCCCGCTCCAACGTTTGAGTTGTCCTGCCTTTCGGGATGAAACCAACGTATTTCTTTCTTTTTTTTTTTTTCTGAGATGGAGTCTCGCTCTGTCACCCAGGCTGGAGTGCAGTGGCGCGATCTCGGCTCACTGCAAGCTCTGCCTCCTGGGTTCACGCCATTCTCCTGCCTCAGCCTACCAAGTAGCTGGGACTACAGGCGCCCGCCACCGCACGTGGCTAATTTTTTGTATTTTAGAAGAGACGGGGTTTCACCGTG